TTTCGAACTCCGCTATTTCGAACTCCGCTATTTCGAACTCCGCTATTTCGAACTCCGCTATTTCGAACCCCGCTAATTCGAATCCCACTAATTCGAACCGCACTAATTCGAACTCCGCTATTTTGAACCCCGCTCTTTCGAACCCTGCTATTTCGAACCCCGCTAAGTCGAATCCCGCTAATTGAACTCCCGCTATTTTGAACCCCGCTGATACGAAATTTCGGATAATCCTAACACAATTCGGGAAGGAGGAAAAATAAACAAAATAAAAAAATACTGATTTGTAGGGTACAGAAACGATTTTATAATTACGGTAGAATTGACTTATTATTGAAACGAACTGTCGAAATGAAACATTTATTGCACTGGTAATCACAGTATTTATCACATGTTAATGTAACAGCATTTTTCTCTTAGAAGAACTTGCAAAATCGGTAATCTTCATTTGCCGTAAGGAATTGATTCTGCTTGATGATGCGCTTCGTTGCCATTTTCTCACATCGCACGCTATTTTGATTAGTCAGGAAATCCTATGTATGTTTTTGTATGTGTACGGGACATTTTTTTCAGGTAATCCGAACAATTCTGAATCCGATTAGACAACGCCCCCAATTAGTTCGGAATACCGGGGTTCTACTGTACATTACATTATATGAAATGATTTTATAAATCGAAGATTCCACATTACGATGTACATATATTTCGAACTACGTGTATTTCCAAATTGTAGTTACGTATTCAAATATTAAGACGACTACTCCCATTCGGCATTCACCGAGTAGCAAGCTCCTGCTCGCCCAATCCCGAGCAGCTGATGTGCAGGGCGAATGTTCGCTTCCATTAGTGCGTCCAAAAGACAGACACCCGGTGGGTAGCGCCAGCACCGAATGTTCGTCGCTTGGCAAATAGCAAGCAACTCATCCACACTACTCGGGATTCGGCGAGCAGTCGCTCGCTGCCGCTGAATACAGAATGTGTGGAGCCACCTTCATATATAATACATATTTACAGTTCCGAAATACATGCACCTCGAAATGCATGAATATTGGAATATGGATACTTGGAGATATAACATTACAAACGAATTAAGTT